CCTCACAAGCCGTACGGCGCAAGCCTCCGAGCAATCCCCGAGAATTCAAGCTCGTCCACGGGCCTCCGCCGAGCCTCTGTTCCTTACGAGTGCCGAGGCTGTTTCGGGAGCGGCGGCTGCACTTAGCGCTGGGCGGGGAAGCGGGACCGTCTCAAGATGGCGGCTCCCACAATTGTGGTCTGAGCACCGGCGGGTCTGGGGCAACCGCGGCGCTTGTGGCTCCTATCCACCCGCCCCGGAAGCCGGCCAGTGCAGGGGACTTGGGGGGTGTGGGAACCGGGCCGGGGCTCCGCCATTTCCGGCGGGTGAGGGCTACGACTGAGGAAGGGAGGAGAGAGAGGCGGCTCAAGATGGCGGCTCCCAGGGCCTCCCGCCCGAGCTTGTAAGCAAGAGCGCCCGGGCAAGTAGTTAGAGCGGCAGGACTCGGCGGCCTCCAGCTTTTCGGGCCAAGCCGGTCTATAGTTTCGGGACGCTCTTTTGGAGTCGGGGTGAGCGAGAAGAAGGGAAAGAGCCGAAGGGAAGGAGGATAGTTAAGATGGCGGCCTCCATGGAGCCGTCCACCGCTGTGTGAGGAACTGCTTCTCCGTGAGAGCTGCCTTAGACGAAGGGGGTGTGTGGGAGGTGTTGGGGGGCTCCCTTCCCGCTTCGTGACTTTTCCCCACCTCGCCCTTTCTTGGAACTATGGCTTCGGCCGTGTCGCCTGCCAACTCTCCAGCGGTGCTCTTGCAGCCCCGCTGGAAGCGAGTGGTGGGCTGGTCGGGTCCAGTTCCCCGACCCCGTCACGGCCACCGCGCCGTGGCCATCAAGGAGCTCATCGTGGTGTTTGGCGGCGGCAACGAGGGGATAGTGGATGAACTGCACGTGTACAACACGGGTGAGTGCAAAGCTCACTGGGTCCTCGGATCTCTCCCTCCTTCCATCTCCTCCCTCTCCCTTCCCTCCATCTCCTCCCTCTCCCTTCCCTCCATCTCCTCTTCCCTCCCTCCATCTCCTCTTCCCTCCCTCCATCTCCTCTTCCCTCCCTCCATCTCCTCTTCTTCCCTCCCTCCATCACTTCCCTCACCTCAGTCTCCTCCCTCACCTCCCTTCTCTCCCCCTCCCTCCGCACTGATCTGCTTTCTCCTCCCCTCTGCGACCCTCTGCTCTACCCCGCTTCTCTGCTCTTTTCCCCGTTCTTACACCCCCAACTCTCCTGTATTTGAGGGGTGCTTTCATTATTGAAGAGGAACCGTCTAGTCCGGCTGGTGCGGGGGCGTCGCCAGCAGTGGTGACTTCAGACATACACCGTTACCCCGGCGAGCGTGCTGGCGGATGCGTCCCTTTGGTGCAGGCAGATTCCCACCCCCTCCTTCCCTCCCTTCCTCCCTCCCGCCTCCTGCGCCTGCTCAGCTAATCATCGCTAGTGCTCATTCGGGAGAGATGACAACTTCTAGATTACAGATGAGTTCTGTCTCGGGGAAAGGGGCAGAGTCTAGCAGCCTAATCCCGATTTTGGGGCGGGGGGTTGTACGTTGTGGGTAACCTCTCCCAGTTGGTGCAGGAGCCTTGGGGAACCACATATCAGGCAGCATTGCTGCCTCTCCCTCTGGGCATTCACTTCTGCAATGCTTCTCTTCAAGTTATCGGTTTTCTTGATCCTCAGATGTAGTAGATGAATTCCAGTGATCCCGCAGCGGGCTAGGTGGTCACTTACCTGACTCTTTTCCTCCTGAGAGGTTAAGGAGGTTACCTGCCCATGTTCATGCCTGCCCCAAACCCAAGGCCTAGTTTTTTTGGGGGGGAAGGAGCTGGATTGGATGGCAGACTGAACACAGTGCTATGCTTCTGTCTGGGTATGCTGGCCTGTGGCTGACTTTCAGCCTCCTTGCTAGGTCTCTAGGGCCTGGCTGCATCCTCCTNCCTCACAAGCCGTACGGCGCAAGCCTCCGAGCAATCCCCGAGAATTCAAGCTCGTCCACGGGCCTCCGCCGAGCCTCTGTTCCTTACGAGTGCCGAGGCTGTTTCGGGAGCGGCGGCTGCACTTAGCGCTGGGCGGGGAAGCGGGACCGTCTCAAGATGGCGGCTCCCACAATTGTGGTCTGAGCACCGGCGGGTCTGGGGCAACCGCGGCGCTTGTGGCTCCTATCCACCCGCCCCGGAAGCCGGCCAGTGCAGGGGACTTGGGGGGTGTGGGAACCGGGCCGGGGCTCCGCCATTTCCGGCGGGTGAGGGCTACGACTGAGGAAGGGAGGAGAGAGAGGCGGCTCAAGATGGCGGCTCCCAGGGCCTCCCGCCCGAGCTTGTAAGCAAGAGCGCCCGGGCAAGTAGTTAGAGCGGCAGGACTCGGCGGCCTCCAGCTTTTCGGGCCAAGCCGGTCTATAGTTTCGGGACGCTCTTTTGGAGTCGGGGTGAGCGAGAAGAAGGGAAAGAGCCGAAGGGAAGGAGGATAGTTAAGATGGCGGCCTCCATGGAGCCGTCCACCGCTGTGTGAGGAACTGCTTCTCCGTGAGAGCTGCCTTAGACGAAGGGGGTGTGTGGGAGGTGTTGGGGGGCTCCCTTCCCGCTTCGTGACTTTTCCCCACCTCGCCCTTTCTTGGAACTATGGCTTCGGCCGTGTCGCCTGCCAACTCTCCAGCGGTGCTCTTGCAGCCCCGCTGGAAGCGAGTGGTGGGCTGGTCGGGTCCAGTTCCCCGACCCCGTCACGGCCACCGCGCCGTGGCCATCAAGGAGCTCATCGTGGTGTTTGGCGGCGGCAACGAGGGGATAGTGGATGAACTGCACGTGTACAACACGGGTGAGTGCAAAGCTCACTGGGTCCTCGGATCTCTCCCTCCTTCCATCTCCTCCCTCTCCCTTCCCTCCATCTCCTCCCTCTCCCTTCCCTCCATCTCCTCTTCCCTCCCTCCATCTCCTCTTCCCTCCCTCCATCTCCTCTTCCCTCCCTCCATCTCCTCTTCTTCCCTCCCTCCATCACTTCCCTCACCTCAGTCTCCTCCCTCACCTCCCTTCTCTCCCCCTCCCTCCGCACTGATCTGCTTTCTCCTCCCCTCTGCGACCCTCTGCTCTACCCCGCTTCTCTGCTCTTTTCCCCGTTCTTACACCCCCAACTCTCCTGTATTTGAGGGGTGCTTTCATTATTGAAGAGGAACCGTCTAGTCCGGCTGGTGCGGGGGCGTCGCCAGCAGTGGTGACTTCAGACATACACCGTTACCCCGGCGAGCGTGCTGGCGGATGCGTCCCTTTGGTGCAGGCAGATTCCCACCCCCTCCTTCCCTCCCTTCCTCCCTCCCGCCTCCTGCGCCTGCTCAGCTAATCATCGCTAGTGCTCATTCGGGAGAGATGACAACTTCTAGATTACAGATGAGTTCTGTCTCGGGGAAAGGGGCAGAGTCTAGCAGCCTAATCCCGATTTTGGGGCGGGGGGTTGTACGTTGTGGGTAACCTCTCCCAGTTGGTGCAGGAGCCTTGGGGAACCACATATCAGGCAGCATTGCTGCCTCTCCCTCTGGGCATTCACTTCTGCAATGCTTCTCTTCAAGTTATCGGTTTTCTTGATCCTCAGATGTAGTAGATGAATTCCAGTGATCCCGCAGCGGGCTAGGTGGTCACTTACCTGACTCTTTTCCTCCTGAGAGGTTAAGGAGGTTACCTGCCCATGTTCATGCCTGCCCCAAACCCAAGGCCTAGTTTTTTTGGGGGGGAAGGAGCTGGATTGGATGGCAGACTGAACACAGTGCTATGCTTCTGTCTGGGTATGCTGGCCTGTGGCTGACTTTCAGCCTCCTTGCTAGGTCTCTAGGGCCTGGCTGCATCCTCCTGCAGCCCCCTTCCCATGGTGGTCACTTGGCCTTCTTTGCACACCTATTGCCTCATTCTGAGTGGGCTGTTGGATGCCTGCTGGCCCATATCAGCTTGCCTTTCTTGTAAGGAGGGACTTGAGGCGTTGTCACTGAGAACAGTGGGCCTGTGTCTGTTGTGTTCTGGATGAGAGCTTGAGGGACTAAGGCATGGGCAGGGAAAAGTCCCCCTTCCCAGGTCTAGACAGTAGTCTTTTAGGAAGTTCCCCTCTGCAGTAGCAGGGAGGTGTGATCAAGTTGGACATAGCCAGGGACCATCTGCCAGCTCATTCCCTGTTGCTATCATATCTAGCAAAACTCCTTTTGCTCCAGATCCATCCTCTTCCAGGGCTCTGGTGATACCAAGTCCTTGAGTCTGGGCACCGGCTCCAGCTTTGAGGTTGCCCTGGGGTGGAGAGCTGGCAGCCCGAGGCAGAAGTTGGTTGGAGTAGCAACAGTTGGAGCTGGGTTCTTGGTTGGGTGCTTCCCCCACCCCCCATCCCCAGGCAGAGTGCAATTTTCTCTGAACCTTGTAGGCTGTTGCCCCCAATCGACCAAGTTGACTTTCAAAGGCTGGTGGGTTGCAGTGACCCTTTGCATTCTGAGTCTCAGCACCTGTTGCCTCAAGCGAGGCCGGGCTGATTGGTGGCGCTCTGTGCCAGCTCAGACAGCTGCGGTGGCAGCAATTAGCCCAGTAAGGTAAGGTTGAGGGGCAGGGCTGTTTTTAGAGAGGCCATTGCCCTGAGCAGATCCTCAGCTCCTTGGACCAGCTTTATTCTCCCAAGGCCTGGAGCAGGCGCTTTGGCAGGGAAATACCATATTAGAAAGTAGGGCAGGGGCCTAATTAGCATCAACTCCAAAGTCCACTTCTTCTTGGGGCCTCTGCATATTCGTTAGTTTATTACAATGAACTGGTCGCTTTGGCCTTGATTCATTCCCAGGCTGTAACGATATGTTGTGTAGTAGTGGATATCCAACCCTCCAAAGGGCTGCAGCCCCGATTCTTCCAGGGGGAGCACTTTGGAAACTGCCCTAATCAACTCCTTAGGTGACTTCCCAAGAGAGCAACTAGCGACCCCACTCCCTATTCCTGAGTGTTTATGTTCTGTCAAATACGGTCAAATAACCTCCGGCGCAGGGATCTCTCTGGCCTTTCCTGTAGCTGCAAGGTTCTAGTGTTCTCTGGAGAGGTGGGGCCTGGTGTTGCCCCTCTCCCACCAGTGGTGGTACAGATGCCCATCATCTTTAGCTGCTACCTCCACAGCTGCCCTCCTGCTTACCTTTCTTTTGCTTTAAATGAGGTCAGGGCGTATTGTCCTTAGGCTTCTTCTCTTGCACCTTTCCTTCTACAGGATAGGTGCTCAGAGACTCACTGATCTGCAAGCATTCCCTGTTGCTAAGATAAAAGACTCCAGGGAGCGCATTCAGGGGGTGTGTGCACGCACACTTGGCTGGTTTGGTTATCTCAACAAACGAATAGGGTGACGGGGATGAGGGGTGGCAGGTGTGTGAGAAGGTGAGTGTTCTTCCTCTTCAACTGCAGTCATTATAGCAGCTGTGGGACACTTGACTGGTCTTTGGGAGGTCTTAGGATAGCTACCGTCCTTGACCTCAGGTAATTTTATCTCAGCCCAGCAAAGCAGATTACTCAGAGGACCTGGTGAGGGGAGGACATGGCTGGTTGGCCTTAATGGTTCTTTAAGGTCTACCAATTGTTTCAGCTGGAAGGAGCATTGGAAAATATCTAGTAGAACTCCCTTGTTTTTGCACATGAGGAAATTGGGATCCAAGAGGGGAAGTGACAGGTCCAGGGTCACCCCACCAGCTAGTTGTGGAGTCTGGCGAGAGTACAGACCTTCTTGGAGACTGTTAGGCTATCTCTTCCTTTACTTACCAGGCAGAGACCACCACCTTGGAAATGCCCCCCTGTTCCTCTGTCCCTGTAGCCAAGTCACTGAATTGAGCTTGTCTCAAATCTGTTCCTCCTCCATTCTGGGCCCTCTCCTCACATGGCTCTTGCAGTCACTTCCTGATTAGCCCTGTTAGTTTCATTTGTCGGGAAATCCTATTCACCCTTCTAAGCCTAGCTCCAATGGTCACCTCTTCTGAGAAATGCCCCCCCCAATAATCGCCCCTGCTCAGTGCGGAGCTCTTTCTGGGCTGCTCTTCCCATTTTGGTAGGAGGGCATGGCAGCTTCCCTACTAGATTGGTACTCTGAGTACGCAAGCTGTCTCCTCTGTGCCTCTCAGCACCCGGCACCACGTATGCCACACAGGAAGTGTGCCTCAGCGTGACTGAGCGAACAAAAAGGCAACTGGTGCGACTTTTGACCATCTACCCACTGTGTGGGGATGGGTCTCTAGATGGTGATGCGTAGAGGTTGACAGGGCAGCAGCAACTATAGACAGAGTTGGCACAGCATGGAAAGGGGTGGGGGAACTGATAAAACACAGAAGCTGGAGTTTCAGTCTTGTTGAGGAGAGGGAAGGTGGAGTCGTATTTCTGGTCATCCAATGAAGGGTCCGAGGCAGCCTCCTTTCCTCAAAGCCCCCTCCCAGCTGAGAGCTGTGACAAAACCAGAGCATATCAAGAATGAGGAACCCAGAGATTAGGCTGTATGACACCCCCTACTAAATGAGCTAGAGATAATATTATTAAGGGGTGACTATGAGTAGCTGTCATATTTAAGAAGTGGTTGCTTGTGCCATCTCAGGGGCAGAAACTGGGACTGTGGATGATATGAAGAGACTCAGTTTACAGTTTTATACCAGAAACTGCACTGCCTCACAGAATGTTCTTGGTGGGGGTGCATAGGGCCCCTGCCCTGCCTGGAGTGTTCTAGAATGAGATCAGGACCTCTTGGGCACTGTAGAATGAGCTGGTCATTGTGAGCTCTTAGGATATTCCAGGTTACATCTAGCATAGCAGCTGGGTCAGTAATCAGTTTGATGGGAAAGCTGTGGGGTGATTCCATCTGCCATGTAGCTTTGTCCCAGTCCTGCTCGATGGCCCCATAGCTATGTGCGGCAGCCACCAGGGTGCTCAGGTAAGCGAGGGCAGCTGATGGCTCCTTGGGCATGGGGCCCTGAGGTGGGCATCTAGCGATCACTTTAAGTTCATGACAAGGTTCTTATCTGTCTGTTTTGCTCTGTGACCTCAGGTAAGTCACTCCCCCCTGGGTTCTCTTCTTTTATCAATTAAGGGATGTTGGCTGAGGCAATCTCAGAGGTTTCTCTCAGCTTTTATCCCACTAACTAGGATGGAGATCCCTTTCAGGGACCATTCATGCAGGGCAATTTGCCTCAGCATGGGAAGCTGCTGGCTTTTCTTGGTGTGTGTTTGCACTAGGAATGAGCTGAAGGTAGTGAGCCAGGACCTGGTTCTTGATGCATGCGCATGGCAGGCAATACAGCATTGCACCTCTACTAGGAAAATGGCGGAGGAGGGGAGAGAAGGATTTGTGCTAGGCATCTTGAAGTCCCTGTGACTCACCTCAACCACGGAAAGAACGGACAGCCTCCTCCAAACCAACCTGTAGAGTTGGGTAGTGGGTAGTGACAGGAAAGGCTGTAACTGTCTCAGGAGGTGCAGTTGTGCTTTTAGATGAGGGCAGGCCTTTCGGGTGAGGTGCATGTTGGGCCTTGAGGGTGATAACATAGGATTTGGGTACCCAGAAGGCAGAGGGGCTATAACAGTAAGCAGCTGGGGCCTCCCAAGGTCCTCCCCACAGGAGTAGCCTAACCCCTAGTCAGATCCCAGGAAATGCTACGTTTACACCCAAATCCCAATCCCTTTGCTTGCTCATGTTGACCAAGACAGATTTAGGAGCATGGAAGCAAGCAGAGTTGCATCTGACCGCCCCTCTCCCCCAGTTTGAGGTTTTTGGAAAGAGTGTGGCATATCCTTTAGGGTACAGTCCTTTAAATAGTATGTGATGAAAGGGACCCCTCAAAAGAGGAGGACATTTGCCCATGACTTTCCCAGGAAGCCCTGGCACTTCTGCTAAGACAGGAGTTGAATGAAAGGACTCAGAAAAGAGGGCAGGTCATGAGCGTCACAGAAGCCGGGCCAGCAGGCTCGCTGCCTGGCTTTTTAAATTTTTTTACTTTTATTTTTTCCATCACCATTTATTCCCTCTATGCCCTCTTCCACCTCCACCCCCACAATCACTACACTGTTGTCCAGGTCCATGAGTTCTCTGCTACCTGGTTTCTGAGTCATCCCCTTCCTTGGTGGCCTCCCCAGCTCACCGCCAGCTAGAGGCGATGGGCTTTGGGGAAACTTCTGTGGCCAGCAGAGACTGTTAGGTGCCACAGAAGCTCATGCTACTGCTGCCACTTCTGGCTTTTGAGAATGTTCCTGAGGGGTATGGGAGTGGCCTGGGGAGAAGGTCAGTGGGCACCATTACCTAGGAGACACCAGCAGACATTGTTCTTGTGTGGCCTTGTGTCGTCGTGTGTCGTTCCCCCTCCCCCCCAAGCAGTCCAGGCTGCCTTGGTTGGCTTCCTTCCCCCGCACCGCAAGAAGGGAAGACACTAACCAGTACTAGTTGTTCTTTCAGCCACTTAAAGATGCAGCCATGGGCCCCCAGGACGAGGAGCACAGGGCCACCGAGAGAGTATTTTGGGTGTTAGAAGTTTCTTTCTGATGACCCACTGAGCGACAGGGGAAGGAAGTTGGTGGCCACATTCCCAGAAGCTGATGAATTATCTTGGTCAGTGACTTCCGGCTTATTAGGGCGAACTTGATGAGAAGCAGGGTGCTCGCAGGCTGTTTTAAGGTGGCCTCTAAGGTCAAAGAGCTTGGAAGATGGCTGTGATAGAGCGCTGGCACTTGAATGCTGAAAAGGGAAAGTCCCATATCCTTGGAAATAGAGGTGCTGTATCTGCCCTTCCTTTCTTGGACCATATTATGTAGGCTGGTGGATTTGGGGAGTAAGAGGAGTGGGGACTCTGGTTTTAGGAGTTCCCAAGTTGTTCTGACATCTTCCTTTTGTTCACCAGCAACCAACCAGTGGTTCATCCCAGCTGTGAGAGGGGACATCCCCCCTGGGTGTGCAGCTTATGGCTTTGTGTGTGACGGGACTCGCCTGCTGGTGTTTGGTGGAATGGTAGAGTATGGGAAATACAGCAATGACCTCTACGAGCTCCAGGTAATGGCCCCTGGTGTGCTCCTTACAGTTGTGGCTGGGGGGTAAGGTGGGGGCGGTGAGGCAAGAATGAGGTGGTGAAGGGGGCTGCTCAAGAACCTGTCCAGGCCCCGTACTGCCCAGTACCTCCTTGCTCCAGTCAAGCACGTACTTCAGCCTGGCCAGCTCCTCCGTACATGACAAATAGCTTGGGCTCAGAAGGTGGCGGGCTCATCCGCAATTCAATCACCGAGTCTTGATTTTGCAGGCAAGTCGGTGGGAATGGAAGAGACTCAAAGCAAAGACACCCAAAAACGGGCCCCCTCCGTGTCCTCGGCTTGGGCACAGCTTCTCTCTTGTGGGCAACAAATGCTACCTGTTTGGGGGTTTGGCCAACGATAGCGAGGACCCCAAGAACAACATTCCGAGGTGAGGCTGTGTCCTCTTCATGTGGAATCCCACGTACCAGTCAGCCCCACCATGCCAAGTCCCTTTCCTTTGTGAAAGGAGAGGGTGGCACTAGATGTCCTATAGAGCTTTTTGGCTCTAAGGTCTCTAACCCTGAGGAGGTGTCGGGGAAGAAGGGCCAGGCCAAGACGTAGAAACCTCCCTTGCTTTGGGATGGTTCCTATTCCTTGGACCTAGTTTAGATCCGGTGCTTGCCTAAGCTTCTGCTGCCTGTAGGGTTAGTGGAGGTTATTTTTATTTTCCAAGGCTGGTGGCCAAGGGCCTTTCTAAAGTCTGGAGGTAATACCAAGCCGGAGGCCCTGGTATAATGCCCAGCTTTGTGTGTAAGGCAGCCCAGCATGCCCTGTCCTGCTGCTGCTGTTGGACACAAGCTCATCCTCAGGAGTTCTTGGCAGGCTCTCCTTGGGGGCGAGTGTAGAAGAACTTGTTCACATGACCATAGCCCCCTTTGTATCCCAAGAAATCCATAGTTCACCCATAGAAGCTGGTGAGCTCTCTGGCACATGGAGTCAGGGTTTGCCATAACTGACCTTTCTTTTCCAGGTACCTGAATGACTTATACATCCTGGAATTGCGGCCAGGCTCCGGAGTGGTAGCCTGGGACATCCCCATCACTTACGGCGTCCTGCCCCCACCGAGGGAGTCACATACTGCCGTGGTGTACACTGAGAAAGACAACAAGAAGTCCAAGCTGGTGATCTATGGAGGGATGAGTGGCTGCCGGCTGGGGGACCTCTGGACCCTGGATATTGGTAAGATGTGGATGTGGCTTCTCCAGTAGCCTCAGAGCAAAGCTAGTCTGCTCTGCAGCCAGCATGGGATGGTTGGGGAGTGTCCTGCTTGGCTCCTTGTCATGGGAGGGTGAGAGCAGTACCCTGTTTGGGGTTATCATGTTTTCTCTGAGCTTGTGGCATTGTTTTTAAGAAAGAACAAGGCAGAGTTGGTTTGCCAGCTTATAGGAGAACGGGGGAGAGGTGAAGGCCTTTCAAAAATGGAATTGTCTAGATTAGGTAGTATTAGTCCCTGCTGATTCATCAGTGGTCAGACTGTACCAGGAGTAGTGCATACTGGTCTGTCATAGTCAAAAGGGGTCTCAAAAGCCCATGAGACTTCTAGGGGCTACTTGGGCTGGTAACCAGGTGGGTGTCAGGAGTTGGTAGAAAGAACTGTGGGGTTTTTGACCTGAAGAAAGTTGAGAGAAGGTGGCTGACAACATATATTTGGAGGGTAGATTAGGTCAGGGTGGGTACTCAGTTTTTTGTGAGCGAAATCCCCAGCAGTACCCTGCTTCCTAACACTCGACCTATAGACAGTGGAGGTGGTATGGGAGCGAATGAGTTTTGTGGAGAGTAGGATGCACAGTGTCATGTCTTGTGCTCCCTGCCCCGACTCTGAGAACAGTGCTAGCCCATAGCAGGGGCCTTCAATGAGATGACAATTGCCAGGATGATGAACACAGCTTGAGACATGCTAGAACCTGATCCAAGTGCCTCCCGTGGCCTATAGGGAGGCCAGGCATGGAATTCTGGGCTGGCACCCACCTTCCAGAGCCTTCCTCAAGGCCTGGGAACTTACTCTGGGTCAGAGAGTGTGTGACCCTGTGTGGGTAACCCTCCTTTCTCCATTGCTCTGCACAGAGACTCTGACGTGGAATAAGCCCAGTCTCAGCGGAGTGGCACCTCTTCCTCGAAGTCTCCACTCGGCCACAACCATAGGCAACAAGTGAGTAGCTAACCATTGCTTTTATCTTCCTAGCCCTCTCCCTGCCTGCCCCCACTCCTGGCCCCAGAGGGCTCTCAGTTGTGTTCCAGCAATTCTGAGGAAGCCTCTTTCTGGCTGGGCTGGTATTCAGCAGCCCTGTGTTTTCATTATGACCCTGGAGGACCAAGAGAAGACACAGGGTAGAGGGGCATGTACTATTCTAGATTCTCCACATATAAGCAGCTGGGTATCTTTGTCAATACCAAGGTCCCAAAGCGAATGTAAGAATGATGGGGACTGGGATGAGCTCTAGATAAGCTGAGCATTGGTTTCATGTAGTGGAGGTGACACAGTTCTTTTGAGGGCTGAGCCACCAAGCAGAAGAGGGCCACATCAAGAGCTTCATGCATCCTAGGGGACTCTCCTGGGGAGAGCTAGAGGACCAAGTGTATTTAAAACTTTACTGGATGGAAGAGGTGTCCTCTAGGTTGGCACCACCTCTACAATCGTCTCCTACTCTTCCCTCCCTCGTCCCAGAATGTACGTGTTTGGTGGCTGGGTGCCTCTCGTCATGGATGACGTCAAAGTGGCCACACACGAGAAGGAATGGAAGTGTACCAACACACTGGCTTGTCTCAACCTGGGTATGGCCTCCTTGGGCTTGGAGTGGCCTATGGAGGGCTGCGGGAGGCTGGCCCTCCCCGGCCCAAGAGCTGTGTGGGGTGTGCAGGGAGCAGAGCTTCTCAGGCCCGTGCCTCTAGAATCCCTAAGAAGTAGCCACTTGTCAGAGCTCTCGGAGGGACCCTCCTCTTCATTTGTTGAATAGGCTCTTCCTACACAAGGTCCGACATATGAAAGTACAGAAGCCTAAGGGTGCAGAGCCTCCCATTCTGCTTCTCAGAGGCAGACAATTTGGTAGGCTCTCATCCACCCTGCCGGGGACTTTTCTGTATGTACAAGCATTACCTATAGGTTCCTTTAGAAACAAAACGGCAGCCTGCTCTACTTAGAGCTGCACCTGTCCTTTTCCATTTACTCTGTCTTGGAGACCATCCCATCCCCACATGCCAAGCGGCCTCATTCTTTTGAATTGCTATCCTGGTATCGAAACTTGCACAGACACTGCTCCGTGAGTATCCTTGCACCATTCTCACCCACGTGCAAGTGTATTTGAAGGGTAAAAACCTCAAGATAGAATTGCTGCCAAAGGGATGTTGCCAAGCTGCCCTGTACCCACATAGGTACTTCTAGCCATGCTGGCACAGTGACTGTCAAACTATTTGCTCTTCACCAAGTCTGATAAGTGATTAAATCTCGCCATGGGCCAGTCCCATGTCCCCTGCTCACCTTGAGCCCCAGCTGCAGCAGGCACTGAAATCAAACTGCCAGGCACCTGATGGGTTAAGTTTGCACCTCTCTTATTTTGAGCACAGTACTTCATTTTTCTTAGATCCATTGCCTTTTCCATGACTTGCATTCCTCTTTGCCTGTCTCTATTGGCTCTTGTGTAGTTTGATATATAAGAGGTGAAACCTTTGGCTGTGCCTGTCAAATAGTTTTCCCCTTTTGTAGTTCGTGGTTTATCATTTTCTTTGTTAGGGTCTTTTTGACGAACAGAGTTGTTGTTTTGGGGGTTTGTTTTTTTTCTAATTTAGTAATCTTTGATGCCTTCCTGGTTTTAAATTCCCCATCCCTGCCAGCAAAAGGCCAAAGGGCCAGTAGAGGTTGTTCGTTCCTCTGCCCCCCTGCTGACCTCCACCGCCTGCTCTCCCCAGATACCATGGCCTGGGAGACCATCCTAATGGACACACTGGAGGATAATATTCCCCGAGCCCGAGCTGGCCACTGTGCTGTAGCAATCAACACCCGCCTGTACATATGGAGTGGGCGTGATGGCTACCGAAAGGCCTGGAACAACCAGGTCTGCTGCAAGGACCTCTGGTACCTGGAAACAGGTAAGGCCAACTGAAGGAGGCAGCCTTAGGGCCCTCCACAGTATAGCTGAGCCTGAAGGCATAGCCTTCTGCCATACTTATCCCAGAAGCCTCTGCCTCCCCCTTCTCACTGACTGTGCTCTCTTACAGAAAAGCCACCGCCTCCAGCCCGGGTACAGCTGGTACGAGCCAACACCAACTCCCTGGAGGTGAGCTGGGGGGCAGTGGCAACCGCCGACAGTTACCTTCTGCAGCTCCAGAAATATGACATTCCTGCCACGGCTGCTACTGCCACCTCCCCCACACCCAATCCAGTCCCGTCTGTGCCTACCAACCCTCCCAAGAGCCCTGCCCCCGCAGCAGCCGCACCTGCTGTGCAGCCGCTGACCCAAGTAGGCATCACACTCCTGCCCCAGGCTGCCGCCGCACCCCCAACCACCACCACCATCCAGGTGTTGCCGCCAGTACCTGGAAGCTCAATTTCTGTGCCCACTGCAGCCAGGACTCAAGGTGAGCCGGGCACCAAGCACTTGAGGGCAGGGGCTAGCCTCTGGGAGAGTGCCTTCCTGAGTAAGGGCTGCTAAATAGCAAGCCTGGCAGTTGTTAGTGCAGGCTTATTATTGAGTGGTGAGGGTGGGGGAGCAAACTCAGTCCCTCCTGTGGAGCCTATCACTTTGAGGGTATCTGGAAAGGCCAGACATGAAGCACTAGCAGTTCATGTCTAAATGCTAAAGGACCCAACAGAGGGGCTGGGGGGGCTCTGCTGATGGCCACCTCCTTCTCTCGTCAGGTGTCCCTGCTGTTCTCAAAGTGACTGGTCCTCAGGCTACAACAGGAACCCCGTTGGTCACCATGAGACCTGCCAGCCAGGCTGGGAAAGCCCCTGTCACTGTAACCTCCCTTCCTGCAGGCGTGCGAATGGTTGTGCCATCACAGAGTGCTCAGGGGACGGTGAGGAGCCATTGTGAGACTGGGCTGGGTGGGGCAGGACTTCCTCGTGGTCGATGGTGCCCTCATTGGGTTAGAATCCCACCCAGCTCCAGCACCATTCATCCTGGGTGCACCAAAGAGGTGACCTTTCATTGCCAAGTTAATAAGAATTAACAAGTTAATGCCTCAGAAGGACCTCCCTGCCATCTCCCAAGGGCGTTTTAAATGTGAACTTTCTTCTTCTAAAACCTGGGGAGAATCTAAAAGGAGAGGGTGGGTTGGTTGACCCAGGCCCGTGAAGAGGAAGTGGTCTCTGACTCTGGTCTTTAGACAAGATCCAGAGCTGCTGACAAACTCCTGCCTTGGGTTCACTGTGCCTGCGTGGTGGTAGGAGTCCAGGTTTGGGGCCAGGAGAGCTAAAGTCCTGCTGCAAGGAGCCCTGGGCGGGAAGGAGGCTCCCTGATGAAGTCTGGAGCAGGGAGCTAGATGGCCTAGGTCCCAGGGCTGTGTTTCACGCTCCCCGTGCCCACCACAGGTAATCGGCAGCAACCCACAGATGAGTGGGATGGCTGCGTTAGCCGCTGCAGCCGCTGCCACCCAGAAGATCCCTCCTTCCTCGGCGCCCACAGTGCTGAGTGTCCCCGCAGGCACCACCATCGTCAAAACCGTGGCTGTGACACCTGGCACTACCACCCTCCCAGCCACTGTGAAGGTGGCCTCCTCACCAGTCATGGTGAGCGTCCCTTGGGCCTGGTGCTGAGCCAGCAGCCTCAGGGCTTGGGGCTTCTAGGCAGTGAATGTGATCTTGCAGTGGTCACTTCTCTGGGACTTCAGACCAACCCAGAGAGCTGTTGGTCTATAATTGGGGCTTGCCGTGGGCTCTGGAATAAGCTTTCACCCTTAGGGATGTGAAGCCTTAGGCTAGACCTGTGGTTGTTCAGTCAACCAAACAGCTCTTCAGTCTGGGAGAGGGGGAAAGAGGAGTGGGGGGAGGTGAGCCAGAGCTGTAGGCCCACCAGGACATCCCAGATAGAGGCTCTACCTCTCTCCATCCCACCCATCACCTACCTTCTCCCTGCTCTGCTCTGCCAGGTGAGCAACCCGGCTACTCGTATGCTGAAGACTGCAGCCGCCCAGGTGGGGACATCCGTCTCCTCAGCTGCCAACACGTCCACTCGCCCTATAATCACAGTGCACAAGTCAGGGACTGTTACTGTGGCTCAGCAAGCCCAAGTGGTGACTACAGTTGTGGGTGGGGTCACCAAGACCATCACCCTGGTGAAGAGCCCTATCTCTGTCCCAGGAGGCAGTGCTCTGGTGAGTGCCACCCTGTTGCATGTGACAGCTGCTAGGCTATATCACTGCCCTGGGCCCATGCCAGGAGAGCCCTAGCCCGTGCCATGCCCTTGATTGGTTTCCAGATAACTCTCCATCCTTTGCTATTTAGATTTCCAATCTGGGCAAAGTGATGTCAGTGGTCCAGACCAAACCAGTTCAGACTTCTGCGGTCACAGGCCAGGCATCTACGGGCCCAGTGACTCAGATCATCCAGGTGAGCTTGTGGGTCTGAGACTCTGCAACTCAAGCAAGTATAGCTTGCATCCCTGCCTAGAGAAGATCCCTTGAGCATGTGTTGCACAGAAAGTCCTACTGCTCGGACCTATCACCCACAGTCTTCAGAATAGTCCCAAAGCTGCTTGGGCTGTGGTGGAGAGCAGCTAGACTAGCTACCTGTCGTGTTAGTGATGCTAGTCCTCCTTGTCCTCCTCCACCTATTTTCCCTTGCAGACCAAAGGGCCCCTGCCAGCCGGGACCATCCTGAAGCTGGTGACCTCAGCAGACGGCAAGCCCACCACTATCATCACTACCACTCAGGCCAGTGGGGCTGGAAGTAAGCCCACCATCCTGGGCATCAGCAGTGTGTCCCCCAGCACCACCAAGCCTGGCACGACCACTATTATCAAGACCATCCCCATGTCGGCCATCATCACACAGGCGGGTGCCACAGGTAGGGGTATCCCCCGGCGCATGGGCAACAAATTGTGCCATGAGGCTAATGCCAGACAGGCATAGAGGCCAGTCTCTGCCCTGCTCTTGGTTTCTGTTTGGTTTTTCTCTTCTCCACCCTCTCCTTGCCTTTTGTTTAAGATTTGTAGGAAGGTGTCAGAATGCAGGTTTAATTGGCACTTCATCTTTTTTTTTTAATACGTCTTTATTGATTTTAGAGGAAGAGAGAGGGAGAGAGAGCTAGAAACATCAATGATGAGAGAGTCATTGATTGGCTGCCTCCTGCACACCCCAGACTGGGGATTGAGCCCGCAACCCAGGCATGTGCCCTGACTGGGAATTGAACCCCGATCTCCTGGATCATAGGCCAATGCTGAACCCTGAGCCACACCAGCCGGGCCACTTCATCATTTTAAGTGAGGGACATCAAGAGTAACTACCGAAAATGGGGCATGGGAACTAGTGCTGGTGGAGCCTCAGAAACCCAGCCTGAAGCTAAGCTACCCCCTCTCCCTTCTCTCTAGGTGTGACCAGCAGTCCTGGCATCAAGTCCCCCATCACTATTATCACCACCAAGGTTATGACTTCAGGAACTGGAACACCCGCGAAAATCATCACTGCTGTCCCTAAAATTGCCACTGGCCATGGGCAGCAAGGAGTGACCCAGGTGAGGTGTTTCTGGCCTTCTCTTCACCCCACCGTCCAGTCTAGGACCTGAGCAGGCCACTTGTGTCCTGAGGGTCCTGGAAGGGGACAGCACGGAATCCAGCCAACCTGAGTGATAATCGAGGGTGGTTTCTTCTGGTGTTCTAGGTGGTACTAAAGGGGGCCCCTGGACAGCCAGGCACCATTCTTCGCACCGTGCCCATGGGGGGCGTCCGCCTTGTCACCCCTGTCACTGTCTCTGCCGTCAAGCCCGCAGTCACCACATTGGTTGTGAAGGGCACCACAGGTGTGTAGCTGCTTTGCATATTCTTTCTGGGTCCACCTCCCATAGGGTTGGGAGGAGGATGCAAATGCTCTCTCTCGAGCCTTCTATTCCTGTTGAGGGCACTCTAGAGTTCCCAGTGCCCCCAGCCCCATCCAGGTTGGGAAACTGCTGGAAAGGAAGTGCCAGCAGCAGGCCTCATCTCGATCCTGCCTCCCTGCTTTTAGGAGTCACAACCCTAGGAACAATGACCGGCACCGTTTCCACCAGCCTCGCTGGAGCTGGGGGCCATAGCACCAGTGCCTCCCTGGCCACACCCATCACCACTTTGGGCACCATTGCCACCCTTTCAAGCCAAGTGATCAACCCCACTGCCATCACTGTGTCGGCTGCTCAGACCACGCTGACAGCAGCCGGCAGTCTTACCACTCCCACCATCACCATGCAGGTAGGGTGGCTGGGAGTGCATGAGGGCTGTGGGGGCGTGTCTGAGAGCTGTGGGAAAGCATGAGCCCCGGCCTGAGGTGTCTGGTCTCCCAGCTGTCTGCTACTGTGTGCACCAGGTCCTCTTTCTTCCTTACGTGTGTAGCACCCATGGGACGTGTTCTCTGTTGCAGAATCATAATTCTTAATCACTAGTAGTCTTTCGTGTTGAAACATATTTCAGTTTATAGATTTTGAACACTAGATTTTTCTTGTGATACAGACTACATGACTGTTTATCTTCACACACATATAGCATTTTTCTTCTTTTCATGTGTTTTAAGCTGAATTCCTGGAATTGGTGAAGTGTCTGTTGCTGGCATTTGTCTGGTGTGGGATCAGTGGGATTCCTTCCCTAACCCAGGCTGGCCCTGCCCCACAACCCCTTCCTAGGCCCTGTGGCCCTTGAGGCGAAGCAGTGCCTCTTCCTTGGTCCCTGAGAAAGTCAGTGTCTTGGGATCAGAGGGTGAGCAGGAGCCGAGTGTATGATACCGGCTGGCGTGAGTGACACTGTAGGATGTTGGGAGGGGCAAACAGATGGGAAGATGTGGCACTAATTGTTCCTGTCTGGTGTCTTTCTAGCCTGTCTCCCAGCCTACCCAGGTGACTCTGATCACAGCACCCAGTGGAGTTGAGGCACAGCCTGTACATGACCTCCCTGTGTCCATTCTGGCCTCACCTACTACAGAACAGCCCACTGCCACCGTCACCATTGCTGACTCTGGCCAGGGTGATGTGCAGCCCGGCACCGTGACACTGGTGTGCTCCAACCCACCCTGTGAGACCCATGAGACGGGCACAACCAACACGGCCACCACCACCGTTGTGGCTAACCTGGGAGGGCACCCACAACCGACCCAAGTACAGTTTGTCTGTGACAGGCAGGAGGCAGCTGCTTCTCTTGTGACCTCGACGGTGGGGCAGCAGAATGGCAGTGTGGTGCGCGTCTGCTCCAACCCACCCTGTGAGACCCATGAGACAGGCACCACCAACACGGCCACCACTGCCACTTCCAACATGGCTGGGCAGCATGGCTGCTCCAACCCACCCTGTGAGACCCACGAGACAGGCACCACCAGCACCGCCACCACTGCCATGTCAAGCATTGGTGCAGGCCAGCAGCGAGACACCCGTCACACATGTGTGGCCACCACCATCCCTGCTGTGGTTCGAGTCAGTGTGGCTGCTGGGGCACTAGAGGGAGCCCAGGGTTCTATCAAGTCTTCATGCCAAACTCACCAGACCAGCGCAACCAGCACCACCATGACTGTGATGGCCACTGGGGCCCCAAGCTCAGACAGCCCGCTGCTTGGGCCAAGCCTGGCACTGGAGGCTGGAGGCCACAGCACTGCTTTTGCACAGTTGGCCTCTACAAGCGGCCAAGTCAGGCCCAGCGGCCCCAGCAGCAAGGACAGTGCTATAGCCGACCTAGGTCAGTTGGTGTCCATGGGGTGCCAGCTGGAGGCACATCACACCCACACAACCAACACCCCCACCACAGCCCGCTCCACCATGGGTGCTGGGGAGCCCGGCGAGATGCGGGGGATCCCCACACCTGCGTATGAGAGCTCATCTAGTGCTGCTGTGACTGTGACAGCCTTGGAAGCACTGCTGTGCTCCTCGGCCACCGTGACCCAAGTCTGCTCCAATCCACCATGCGAGACCCACGAGACTGGCACCACCAACACAGCCACTACCTCGAATGCAGGCAATGCCCAGCGGATCTGCTCCAACCCACCCTGCGAGACCCATGAGACGGGCACCACCCATACACCAACTACCGCCACCTCTGGTGGGGGTGCAGGCCAGCCCGAGGGGGGGCAACAGCCCCCTGCTAGCCGCCCCTGCGAGACGCACCAGACCACTTCCACTGGCACCACCATGTCAGTCAGCGTGGGTGCCCTGCTTCCTGACAGCAGCCCCACCCTCAGGACCCTGGAGTCCGGGTTGGAGGGGGCAGCACCACCCACCATCTCTCCCCAGGCCAGCACTTCATTGCTGACTCCTTTTCCAACACAGAGGGTGTGCTCCAATCCCCCCTGTGAGACGCATGAGACAGGCACCACACACACGGCCACCACTGTCACCTCCAACATGAGCTCAAACCAAGGTGAGTGAAGATGGCCAGCCTGGTGTTTGTGGTCTCCTGGAGCCCAAAATTCAAAGGATGAAGGAAGTGGTGGCTAAAAGATCTATCTAGCCAGAACCCAACAGATTCCGTGGGGCTAAGTTTACCTGTGGTGGGGAGGGGTGTCCTCCTGGCAACTGTCCTCTAGTGACAAAGCTGGGTAGAATTCCTGGGGCACCTGGCAACCAGCATCACCGCTAGGCCCTTACTGGCTAAGTGCCTGTCACCCAGCTCTGCCTGTCCCCTCACAGATCCCCCACCAGCTGCCAGTGACCAAGGAGAGGTAGAGAGCACCCAGGGCGACAGTGTGAACATCACCAGCTCCAGTGCCATCACAACAACTGTGTCCTCCACGCTGACACGGGCTGTGACTACCGTAACACAGTCCACGCCAGCCCCTGGCCCCTCTGTGCCGGTAAGAGCCCCGGGAAGGTCCCCTTTTGCCTCCCTGCTGCTGCCTAGTGCACCTTCAGCCCATGTGCTATTCTGGAGTTGGACACCGGGTGTCACTCTTGTACCAGGCACAGTGTTGCTTCTGGTCCCTTTTCCAGACTATAAAAGGGCAACCTCCTGGCATGATAGGGTAAGAGGAGGGAGTCCCCCAGTCCCATGGCTTGCCGTTTCACTGTAACATATAGGAGTGATAAGGCAGGCATCTGAGGGCCCCTTCCTGACTAGACTGGGAGGCTTCCTTGAGGAGGGGTTAAAATTGGCCAGCAGGTCTCAAAGTTCTTTTCTGTTGCTGAACCCCTGCTGCTATATGACCTGTCACCCCTCCCCATTTAACGAGGTTCTGCTGGTCCATTGAGAATGGGAGGCCAGGCCTACAAGGAAAGGTGAAGGGTACCTGGTTCTGGCCTCCCTGTCCTCCCCTCTGACAGGGGCTTCTCTCCCTTTCTAGAAGATCTCATCAGTGACTGAGACTACCCCAGGGGCTCTGACCACCGAAGTCCCCATCCCGGCCACGATAACAGTGACCATAGCCAACACAGAAACTTCTGACATGCCCTTCTCTGCTGTTGACATCCTGCAGCCCCCAGAGGAACTCCAGGCCTCCCCAGGGCCTCGCCAGCAGCTGCCGCCACAGCAACTCCTGCAGCCTGCCTCCACGCCCCTGATGGGGGAGTCCACCGAGGTCCTCTCAGCCTCGCAGACCTCTGAGCTCCAGGCCGCTGTGGATCTGAGCAGTACAGGGGACCCAGCTTCAGGCCAGGAGTCTGCCAACTCAGCCATGGTGGCCACTGTGGTGGTCCAGCCACCTCCACCCACACAATCTGAAGTAGACCCATTGTCACTTCCCCAAGAGCTGATGGCTGAGGCCCAGGCAGGCACAACCACCCTCATGGTAACAGGGCTCACCCCTGAGGAGCTGGCAGTGACTGCTGCCGCCGAAGCGGCTGCCCAGGCTGCAGCCACAGAGGAAGCCCAGGCCCTGGCCATCCAGGCTGTACTCCAGGCCGCACAGCAGGCTGTCATGGGTAGGTGTGGGGGGTGGATAGCTCACCATGTCATCTGAGGTCAAGGCCAGATGAGTGCCCTGAAGGGAAGATGGGCCCCTCAGGAAGAGTGAGAACACAGGGTTCTGGAGCCTCCCTGCTGACGGGCAGCCAAGAGAAGAGGAGGCCTGCTTCCTGCCAGGGTGGCACAAGTCAGGTGTAATGGGCACGGCTGCTGAGCTCAGCTGGGCACCCAGGAAGGAGGCAGGGCCCCTTGGTTGGGGGATTACAGGGTAGATGTAGACCAGGAAACATGGTCAGTAGGACAGACTTTTAGGGCCTATATTCTTTGGCTGGGGGTGGGGCTTGGGAAGTGACACTGGAAAGTCAGGGATGGGCTCCACCTGGCTGGTGTCCCTCTTGAGTAGTATTTTCCTCCACCCTGGAGCAGGTACTGGGGAACCCATGGACACGTCTGAGGCGGCAGGAGCCGTGACACAGGCAGAACTGGGCCACTTGTCAGCAGAGGGCCAGGAGGGCCAGGCCACCACCATCCCTATCGTGCTGACACAGCAAGAACTGGCCGCCCTGGTGCAGCAGCAGCAGCAGCTGCAGGAGGCACAGGCCCAGCAGCAGCATCACCACCTTCCCACTGAGGCCCTGGCCCCTGCTGACAGCCTCAATGACCCGACCATCGAGAGCAACTGCCTCAGTGAGCTGGCTGGGGCTGTCCCTAGCACTGTAGCCCTGCTGCCCTCCACAGCCACCGAGAGTAAGCAGAGCCCTGTTTGGCCATGTGCATATTTCCTGTAGCACTGTCCCCAGGGAACTCAGTTGACCAGGGAGAGGTTTTGGGAGGTATCTGGGTCCCTCCTTGCACAGACTGAAAGTGTGGCCTGGTCTGAGGGAAGGGCTCCCATGTGGAAACTGAGTTTCCGGAGTCTTTCCCACTGACACCTTTTTTCCTCCCAGGCCTGGCTCCTTCTAACACGTTTGTGGCCCCCCAGCCAGTTGTGGGATCCAGTCCCGCTAAGCTGCAGGCTGCCGCTACCCTAACTGAGGTAGCCAATGGCATTGAGTCCCTGGGCGTGGTGAGTCTGATGTGATGAGGCTTCATGGGGGTCACTGCTTCTGGGCCCCAAAGGCTGAGGGCCTGATCTCTTCTCCTTTTTCTGTCTTCCAGAAGCCAGACCTGCCACCCCCACCCAGCAAAGCCCCCGTGAAGAAAGAGAATCAGTGGTTTGATGTGGGGGTTATTAAGGGCACTAATGTAATGGTGACACACTATTTCCTGCCACCAGATGATGCTGTTCCATCTGATGTAAGTGTCCCCGGGAATTGATGCCCTCAGGTGGGTGGATCCTGGCAATAAGGCAGGTACAGGGCCTTGAGGAGACTTCTGAAGCTCCCCAGGGGTGCCCTCCATGTTGGAGCCAGCCCGAGGACAACACTCCCTCCTCTTGTTGCCCTTGAAGCAGTGAAGAAACCCATTCTTAGTCCTTTTGCCATGTCTTTCCTTATGAAGGGGATGTCATTGCTGCCCTCTTCCCCTCTCCCACATGGACCTGCATGGTACCCAGGTTGGAAAAATGGAGCTGCCCTCCTGACAGTGGGGTTTATGTCACTTCTCTCCCTCTTCCTGTTCTCTGGCCTCTTTCCGCAGGATGACTCGGGCACTGTTCCAGACTATAACCAACTGAAGAAGCATGAACTGCAGCCTGGCACAGCCTATAAGTTCCGTGTTGCTGGGATCAATGCCTGTGGCCGGGGGCCCTTCAGTGAGATCTCAGCCTTTAAGACGTGTCTGCCTGGTTTCCCAGGGGCCCCCTGTGCCATTAAAATCAGCAAAGTGAGTCTTGCTGTAGAGTGGCCCTCTGTCCCTGGTCAGTCCCCTGCCCACTTGGAGCAGAGCAGGCCTCAGCTGAGTTCATACACAGTGCTGGGCCAGGTGGGGTGACTCAGGAGGGGCCCCAAGGTGTGGGCAGAGTTGGCCAGGTCTGGGTGAAGTCTCTGCTCCTGGGACTGTCACCAGTTGCCAGGGTGACATGGGCAAGTTCCTTCCTGTCCCCTGGCCTCATTCTCCCCCTCTAACATGGCAGCTAATGTTCAGAGAGTGTTCAGTATGTGTCATGTTAAACATGTTTTTTATCTAATTCTTAGAACATCCTGAGATCTGGGACCTGTTAGCTCTATTTTCCCAGTGAGGATACTGAGGCACCAAGAGGCTGACAAATCCTTAGGTGTCGAATTGGGTATAGAAAGGCTGTATTTTGAGTCCCTGTTGATTTTATTTTGCCATTACACGAGGCTGCCTTCTAGATGGAAGCAGATGAGGCCATCTCTCTGGAGCTTCTTGAACTCTGCTGTGAAATTGGTCTGTTGTGTTAGAGGAGTGGTGAAGTGTGAGTGGTCAGCTCTGGGAGTTGTGAAGCAGTCTAGCATAGGCAGGGTACAATAAAGTCACAAAGGCTAAAGACAGCACAGCTTAACCTCTGTCGCTTTGGTTCTAGAGTCCAGATGGTGCTCACCTCACCTGGGAGCCGCCCTCTGTGACTTCTGGCAAGATCGTTGAGTACTCGGTGTACCTGGCTATCCAGAGCTCACAGGCCAGCGGTGAGCCCAAGAGCTCAACCCCAGCCCAGTTGGCCTTCATGCGGGTGTACTGCGGGCCCAGCCCTTCCTGCCTCGTGCAGTCCTCCAGCCTCTCCAATGCCCACATTGACTATACCACCAAGCCCGCCATCATCTTCCGCATCGCTGCCCGCAATGAGAAGGGCTATGGCCCAGCCACCCAAGTGAGGTGGTTGCAAGGTGGGTATCATCCATGAGGCTTCTTGGGTGGTCTCTGGGAAGGGGGAGCTTGGGGAGTGGAAGCCCCTGGCACCAGATGGGCAGAGGGTGATCCAGCTCTAAGCTGGACTTTGGAGCTTTACAATCTGGCAGGGGGGCAGGGTAGTGGCCTAGGGTGCTGTGAAGTTGTTTTGGGGGGGCCCCTTGCCTCATCTGGAGGTACAGGGAAAGCTTCCCAGGGGTGTTTGAGGTGCGATGGGGTGGAGAGGAGCCTGAAGTAGGAGGCACAGAGTGTAGCTGGAGCCCAGTGGACATGGGTTGGGGAGTGGAGGCCCAAGGCTGCCCTGTCAGGTTACAAGCCAGCTCCCACAAGGCTGACCAGGGAGGATAGTGAGGGCCTCTAACCTGAGTCCAGGGCCACCCTGGGGGGTGGCACACAGGAGCCCAGGACCATGGGGAGTGCACCCACCGGAGGGGCTATCATATTCAGCAGACGTAGCTAGTTGTGCTGCGGGGCCAAGAGGCTGTGGGTGAAGGGGTGGGTGCAGATATGTTCTCAGCCTGTGGACAGCTGTGTGGCTGAAGTGATCTGACCCACCTTGCTGTGTCGCTCACTGCTCCCTTTTTGTTTTCAGAAACCAGTAAAGACAGCCCTGGCACCAAGCCAGCCAACAAGCGGCCCATGTCCTCTCCGGAAATGTAAGCAGGAAGCCTGTTTTGGGAACCTTCTGAGGCTGAGGGTGGGTGGCTCCTGGGAGGAAGGAGCAGTGGATTTGGGGGCTTAACTGGGTGTGATCCCCTACTGGGTGCCAGCCAAAAACCTACAGCAAGTCCTACAGTGTTGTCAGGAGCCACGCTAACACTTTCTCTTTCCCTTTCCTTCCATCTTCCCAGGAAAACCGCTCCAAAGAAATCTAAGGCAGATG